ACTACTACTACTACTACTACTACTACTACTACGCGCTCACCTGCTGGCACATCGGGCAGCGACGCCGCGTCTCGTCCTCGCGCCCCCACGAGTGCTCGCCCTGCACGTGCCCGCACGACAGGTACACGTACGGCTGCTTGTCCGACTCGACGAGCGTGTTCTTCTTCTGTATGACTAGCGTGTTGAGCCCGACGGGACACTGCGGCCGGCCGGCGTTTAGCTCCTCCACCTGGTGCTCCAGATACCGCTTCGTCTACGCGAGCCACAGAAAATCATTAGCATTCATGAATGCCAAAGCATGTGAATAACAGGAGAGTAGGACAAGAGGAAAGCACTAAGCAGGAGGATAAGTCTTCGTCTATGCGCGCCACAGAAAAATCAGTAGGATTCGTGAATACTGAAGCATTTGATACTGATGCTGAATCGAGTGAATACTGGTGGTGCTCCAGATACCGCTTCGTCTACCGGTGCACAATCGGGAGAATTCGCGAATGCCGGAGGATGTGTAGTGCAGGAGAGTAGGATAGGGGAAAGAAGTAAACAGGAGGAAATGGGAAAGGCTAAGTAGGAGGAGAGGGGGCAAAGCACTAAGCAGGTATGTGCATGCATATAGGAGGAAATAGTAAGCCAGACGAGAGGGAGAATTCGTGAATACTGTGGAATGTGTAAGCACAGGAGACCAGGCTAAGGCACAAATAACTAAGCAGCAGGATAGGGGGAAAGAGCCAAGCAGGAATGTGCAGGCATATAGGAGGAAATAGTGGACCAGACAAGAGGAAAGAAGAGTGAAGCCAGGCAGAAAGATGAGCGAGTACAGGTGTACTGATGCTCCAGATACTCCGCTTCGTCTGCGCGCGCCACAACAACCAACATTTGTGAATGTTGGACGATGTGTAGTGCAGGAGAATAGGATAGGGCGGAAATAATAACGATATATAACACAATATGGCATCTGTTATTGTTTTGACACAGGAAGACCCCGACACAAGGTATGCAGTCAGTTAGGTGTGAGTGAGCACGATACTCAAACTTACAGGTGAAAGACTAAGGCTGGCTGCGGACCTCCACAACAACGTTGCTCCACAGAGATCAACGAGAGTGCCATCCAGGAGAACATTGGACTCATCCTCCACCTATATGTGTAGAGACACACTTACGTTATAAAACAATTGCATGGTGGCAAGGGAAACATTCAGATGGTACGAGAGTGCAATCTTGGAGAACATTGGACTCATCCTCCACCTATACGTGTAGAGACACACATTCATTATACATTAATTGCATGGTGGCAAGAGAAAACATTCAGTTTTGCTAACTGAAAGAAATCAATGTTGCCCGACACAGAAAGTCCATGGTTCCATTGATTTTTGAGGTAATCATATTGCAATTAGCGGCACATCGATAAATCGTTATGCCTCTAGCCATGAATGATGCTACAAGCACGCAAACTGATAATAACTATCAACTAGTCAATCACCACTATCAACAAATGATTCCAGTTCGATTGTCGCGTGCTGCCACACGGTGGCACGACCACTCACCAGCGCCCCCTTCTGTGGGGCAGACCTGGACTCCCTGAGAGCGTAGACGCTGCCACACACGGACACCTCTCGCCAAATTCCCGGCTCTGCGCGTCCGCCGAAGAACTTGCCCTTCGGATGCATGATGAGAATGCCGTTCGTCGTGAGTCCGTCGATTTCACCACCCTCGTCGCTCTTCTGCCACTTCGTCGCCTTTTCCTGCATTCGAGAAAAACAAGAGGTTAGGACAACATGCACAGGAAACCTGTGTCAGCAAAAACCTAATACATTTGTCTATAAAGGAAGGACATTTTTAATGTTTTCCTTGAGTAACATTTATACGAAGAACCTCTTAGAGGCCTCTATGGAATGCACACCAGTCTATCAAGATCACCGTTAAGGAGATTTCATTGAGCGACCATCTATACAGGTTTTAATGTAGATACATTAAGTAGATGCCCAGGTGAGCAGGACAGCCTACAGCGCATCGTGTTATATGCAAGACAAAATGTCGAAGAGTAAAACAACCTAACTGGAGTAGCTATGACACGCATATACTAAAGTAGTAGTATTCCAATTAACTTTCTCACAGTACTTACTCAGTGTTTACGTGGGATCAGACTGATTTTTATCTTTTATAAAGCTAATAAATTCACACAGATATCTCAGCGTCGTTTTTTGGTAACGTTTCCACTCGATTGAGGTCAAGCATTGCTTGCGTTTATGCCACCACGTGCCACACACCTGTAACCACTATGCTTTGCTCTCACACTGACAAATTTTGAAAATTTATCGTCACCCGGATTTCCTCCTAATGCACCCAGGAGCGAGTCACTCTACCGGAAACCTAACACTACGAATATAAATTACGATATAAAGTTTATACTTATATTTAATACTTTACTCTAATTAGTCTAATAATTATTATATCGATTACTAGTAATAGTCCTCGTCAGTAATTTCCTATAATTAGTCCTCGTTTGTGCTCTCCCAACGCTGCGACGACCGACTGCAAAGCCGAGAAGCTCGTCGCCGGCGGCAACGCACGTACCCCGAGGAAGATGTTGCGTGAGGAGTCGAAGCCGGCTGCGTAGACGCGCGATCGGTCCGGCACGCTCCTGTCGCACGTGACGCGGCAGGCGAACCTGCTGATCGTGCTCTGAGTGATGATGCTGTCCGCCTGCTTGTCACCCGGAATCGTATCCATGACGACGAAGTCGATGGGCGTTTCGGATGACCGGCCGATCTGTGGGTAAACGTACGGCAATGTGCCGATGCCAGGAGTGTATAATATAAACACACTATATACAGTCTACAGACAATCTATATTTACAATCTATATTTACAATCTATAGACACTCTATAGATACTCTATATCTACAGTCTATAGATACTCTATATATATAGACACTTTATAAACACTCTATATCTACAGTCTATAGATACTCTATAGACACTATATCTACAGTCTATACTATACACTCCTGATGATACTAGATTATTACAAGGGGAAAACATAAAGGGGAAGTAGGATGTTTGATGCCAATGGGTAACACGCAAGGAGTAGACTTCATTAATGTTCTGTCAAACCCGTGTTAGCAGACACCTATCAATAAAGGACACTGATGATGTTAGGCTTTGAGGGACAGCTATACTGGGAAACAACCTCTGTGGAATCGACACCTGCCTATATAGAACATCAATGGGATTTCCCTTAAATCACCCTCATATACAGGGTTAAATGTGCATATAAGAGCAGCTACTCAGGGAAAATACCAAGAGTGGCCTTTAGAGACATGTGTAAATTATATATAAGTGCCCGTTACTTAGGACTGCAGTTACTGAACAATGAATACCAAGGGTCACTTTACACGTTACCACAACTAGCTGACTGTTTGTACTGCGTCTGAGCAGAAAGGGAAGACGACAAAACAGACGAGGAACGATCGAACTAGGAACGCCACGTTAAAATCTCGCGAACAACCAGCAAACGCGAGACAGGCGACGTTCAGCCATTCGAGAGAGATTCACGACCGATTTGCGATGATGGCGGACAACGATCTCGCAAATTTCCCCTGAAGGAAATAATGGCTTAAAATGCTCTTCATTTCGCCTCATCTGGCACCAGAACCAAGAGAGTTAGGGTGCATTAGGATTTACGCCAATTTTGGCAGAGTCGACGTTGCACTGACATGGAAAATTCAAACGTACATGCGAGAGAGAAAGGGGGGGGGGAGATAGAGATACAGTCATAGGCATAAAGAGAGAAAGAGAGTGAGAGAGAGAGAGAGATAACAGGAGAGAGAAAGAGAGAGATAACAGGAGAGAGAAGAGAGAGAAGAAGAGAGAGAAAAAGAGACAGAGAGAGAGAGAGAGAGACCAGAGACAG